CAAAATAGGGCACAGTACTCCAGCATCAAGTAGAGCAGGACAATTACCTCTTGTGTCTTACATGATACTGGCAGGGTTGGCAGCAGGGGAGATTTAGGTTAGATACTAGGAAAAACATTCTAACTACAAGAATAGACTCTGGAATAGACTTCCAAGGAAGGTTATGAAATCCCCATTGTTGGAAGCTTTTAAAAGCAGGCTTGACAAATAGGATTGTGTAGGTGTGGTTTGGCTACAGTGCATGGGGCTGGACTTGATTCCTTCTCATAGTCTCTTCCAGTCCTACATTTCTGTGATTCTGTGCCTCTATTTTCGAACTCTCAGCTTTTAACTATTCCAGCAGGCAGCAACAAACAATGGATATTGTTGGGAAATGTGAACTGTATTGCAGGTGGGAACCAGATTCCTCAGAGAGAAACAAAATGCAGGTTCTGACAACCAAAGTTTTGGAAGAAGGGGGTGGGGAGAAAGGGATTTCTACTATCCATCTTTTTAGTTCAAGGTGTCCTGGTTCTAGAGAACTGATCTGTTAGTGACATGTCTATAATCAGCCATTTTGAATTAAGGCGCCAGTGCTCAATTTGCTATCTCATTCCAGGATGCAATTCTCTCGCAAGACCATGTCAGTGAATAGGCTAAATAACTGTGAAGTGAACCAGAAGAAATCTGCTAAAGAGTTTGGAATTGTCAGTGATTTTCCATTAGAGTGACTGGAGTGCACTGGAGTGCGACTATCTGCAGCACACCAGCAGAAGAACAGGAAACGTTTTAAAGAGTCCAGAATCACTGGAAAATAACACAACAAAACACAACTTTGCTCTTTCAAATAAGATACATGGTATTAATGGGTTATGAGAGAAACTCTGTAGTAATAGTCTGAGGTATTGGGTAAGTCTAGACTACAGGCTTTTGTCAACAGGCTTTGTCGACATACTATCGACATAGCTTCTGTTGACAAAGAGTGTCTAAACTACAGCCAGTTCTGTTGACAAAGCAAGCCACTTTGGGTCGACATGAGAGTGTAGACGCAAAGGACTGTGTAGATGCAATAACGCCTTCTGTCGACAGAACTCTGTCGCCAAAAGGCGTTATTCCTCATAGAATGAGGTTTACTGCCGTCAACAAAACTGCCGAGTTCTGTCGGCGTTATGTCGATAGAACTTGACAGTAGTGTAGACGCAGGTATAGTTTTGTCGACAAAAGTCCAAGAGCCCTCAATGGTCGTTTATCTTGGTGCCCTAGGCCACCGTCTAGTTTGCCTGTATTGATGGGCCGCCACTGACTACATGCAGGCAGATTTGAACCTGGGACCTGTGGAGCTTAGTGTAGAAGCCTCCAGCCACCTGACTTTCAGCTTAGGCTGAAGAGCTCATTCATTCTGAACTCTCACTGTAAGTGGTCAAAGGCTATGTCTAGACTGAAGAGCTTTTTTGGGATAACGGAGGTATCCTGGAAAAGCTCTACTGTGTCCAAGGATCACGTCCGCTTTTTTGGGACAGTTTCCAAAAAAGTAGATGTGTTCTTTCAGCATCCCTGTATTCCTCTCAGTGAGAGGAATAAGGGATGTTCTGAAAAAGGATTTTTTCCTAAAATTTGGCCCCACGTAGATGGGCAAAATTTTGGAGAAGCCTCTTTCAGAAAAAAGCAGAAAAAGATACGCACATTGTGTTTTACAATGTGCATATCCTTTTCCGACTTTTCTCAGCAGTCTAGACATAGCTGATGTGCCACTACATGGGGACAGTGAACCACACCCCCTAGGTGTATGGATTACAAAGAGTGTTATTCAAGATCTCACAACAGATTTTTTCCATAACTAGATTATTTCAAGTCTTCTGAGCAGTTTACTCTGGACTTCAGTGATGTTAATTCTGATTTATACCTGTATGATGGGGGAGTTAGGCACAATGTGTGAGAGCTGATTTCCTGAGAGATCAATCATAGGTTTGTTACCATTCAGGGTGAGGGGGACAGACTGATGGCAGTCCTGTGTCTTCTGTTTGTTTTTAATTAATAAATAAAAGCAAGGGGAAGGAAAGCAGAGAGTACTTCATCCATGATTCCTGTGACACTGCACTTGCCTTAGGAGATGTATTTCCAATATGCTTCTGGTCAAGAGGAAGAATAGACAGCTCTCTAAACCACTATGTAGCTCCACTTGTTCCACTGCCTGCTTGGGAGAGTAAAAGTGATGAGCACACATGTTCTCCAGAGATCCCCCCCAAAGATCAGAGATACAAACTTCAGTGCTAAGCCTTGACAATGCATATCCAGCCATATCCATGTGAGTCCAAAGGCACAAAATGTCAGCTGACTTATTCCAGCAATCTCGAATGCTGAGAAAAGAGGGAACCTTTTTAGTCCTCCTCGCACAGGCACCTAACTTATTCCTTCCCAGGCCAGTGGGAAATTTGTGTTTAGTGGAGGACTCTGTTATGACTCACGCATGCTTAAAACTAGGGATTGGTTTTCAGCTCCCTTCTTCCTTAAAAGGTGTTGCCACTCCTGCTGTTTGTCATTGTACATATTTTTTTCTTTTAAGGATTTTTATAGACTGTCAGACAGCTATATCTGCTCAAGAAACACTTGGTATCAACTGAATTAATATTCAGTTTAAAAATAAAGCAACCTCGGTGGAAAGTATTACTGATTCTCCTCTGGGCCAGGTAGCTTTGTGTGCCAGTGAAATGTCAGAGAGCAACATTCCTTCAACTAGCAAGGATCTCAGTTGTGTTGCCTGCCTGCTTTCCTTTTGGCTGCATTTGGAGCATTCAGCACCTGGAGCCCCTAGCTGAAATGTGAGCTCAAGTATGGTAAACCAGTCTGACTGGTGGTGGCAAAGTGACCCATGTCCTGAACAAACCTTATGAAAGGAAGCTAAAGTTTACTGAAGTCAGTTAAACCTTATCAAGTTGAAGTTAAAACCTTTTGAGTACATAGCACTAAAACACAATTGTGTATGTGTTCTTTGGGCACCATGTGAACTTTCTCTGCTAGGATAGTAATAGAAATGTAGCCGTGTTAGTCTGGTCTAGCTGAAACAAAAAACAGGACTATGTAGTACTTTAAAGACTAACAAGATGGTTTATTAGGTGATGAACCATCTTGTTAGTCTTTAAAGTGCTACATAGTCCTGGTTTTTTTCTGCTAGGGAAAGGGAGATACTAATGAACCTCCTTGGTTATCAACCCTTTGAAGCCACCTCCCTGGAGAGGTATGGATTATGCGGGAACTATGAGACCAGTAAAGGGTTTTGGATAAATAGCTTGGTTTAAATGTTCTCAGACTCTTCCTCATGATCCAGTAAATGGACAGGGCTCCTGGTCCCTAGAGGGTTCCAATCATTAGGGTGGGATTGGGAGGCCTGGTGCTTGTACTGAGCAGACTCTGGGATGAACTGGTAACCACAAGGAATCACCAATTTGACAGACTGTGCTTGTTGGAATCCATGATAGGGTTGAAGTTGGCACTGCTAATCATAATGCTTTTTACTCTGAGAATAAAGTCGGCTTGCACGGGGCGTGCAGTGGTACCTTTATAACTCTAACCGTTACCTCTGTTAGCCATCTCTAAGGACAAAACAAGCAGGCTCTGCTTGGGCAGCCTGTCTCTGCTGGGGATAATATAGCAGAGATCAAGAAACTCTGCAGCTTGGAAATACTTTGGTCAGAAGGCAGAGGAAGCAGGTCTCCATCCAAGAGAGGCAACAGCTGGCAGCTGGGTGCCAGACTGTGGGTGCCCTTGCGGATCTCCAAGGGGGAATAAAAGTGCAGTTTCCCTGAACTGTGAGAGTGGCTTGCAAATCAAGTATCTTTCAAATGAGGTGTTAAGCCAAGCTATTGACAGCTGGTGGTGAATGAAGATGCTGTGGTACTTTCTTAGGTATAGTCATGTTAACTCGTATGGCTAGGATAATAGGATTGTGCTTAACTAATATCCCTTTGCATGTCCATATGAATACAGTGAACTTTGTTGGTAGGGACACATCTATGTTGGCAACCAAGTATTCACCACCTTTGGAGGCTGGGTACTGGTAGCGAGTTCTGTCTACAGTATGGCTTCCATTGTTGCTACGATAGACAGAACTCTATCGTTGATGAGCTATGTAGGTGATTTTTGTCAGGGTAGTTCTGTCCTTCCTTCCTTAAATGGTGCTGGATTGTGGTACAGTAGCTACCATGTTCCATACAGAAGATATCCTCTGTATTTTGCAAAGAGGTGAACCGATTACAACAGAGCCTTTTTCCCACTTCACAGGCTTCAGTTTATAAAACCATCTGAACAACTCAGATAATAGGTTTTAGAAAAACTTGAAATTATTACTGCTTCTGGCCATGATTATCCTCTGCATGGGACATATTAACACACGTGGATTCCTCTTGCTGGGGTTCCTCTGTACCATTCACGGGGAACAATAGCAGCTTGTAGCAGCAAACCTCATTTACCACTTCAGTCATTCAGGGGGTGACGTCTGGCTGGAGTTCCTGCTGCTCCCACATCCCTCCCACCTTCACATTGTCACTGCAGTTTCCATACTTTATGTCCAAATGTGCTTAGACAAGGAGATCTTCCCTTGTCTGATAATGAGATGGGAAGGAACCAGGAAGGTCCACTTCTCTGGTCACTCTAGGATGACTCTTACAATATGAATTTTTGCACTCGCTAACTTATTTTGGGACCAAACTTGTACCAATATGTGTGTAGGAGCAAAGATGAGGGCTAGGTGCTCTGGGGTAGCATGCCAGACAGTGTTTAATTTATGCTGGAGCTAAGTCCTAGCACTTCTAAGTTTGGCAGTTCATAGCCCCAGCACCTCTGAGGTAAGTAAAGAAACTGTTCGAACCACAGCACCTCTTTCAGGACAGATTAAGCACTGGTGTAGGGTTCAAGAAGTGACTGGACTGAAAAGAAATCATCTGTCTTGTACTTCCTGCATTCCTGAAGTGTCTTCTGAATCCTCGTCTGTTTAGCGTACTGATGGATATATTTGTTTGTTTTAGAGTGACCACCCTGAAAGTCCATTATTGCCGTAGGAGATCAAACCTGCATTCTTCTCCAGCTTGTGTGTCATCAGCATAACTGCCAGCCAGGGTAAGTTTCTGCACTTTGAACCCTTTTTGATGAGGCTGCAGGATGCAGAGAGCCCCCTTGTGAAAATCCCCTCTTGGCTATTCCGATTATATTGCAGCAGTTCATTTCTACATGAAAAATGGCTCGTTGAATTTGCCAGTGCCAAACTCAATGGTTATATATTTTTTTTCTGAATGTGAGCAGTGGAAGCTCAGCACGATGCCCGGACTGTCCAAGCAGCATTGCCTTCTGACCATAACCATGCTTTATATTGAGGCCTATTCAGTGGGTGCGTGTTAGATCGTTCCCTTTCTAAAAGAATCCAGCATCTGGTATATCTTTCACCTTGAGTCATGTCTTTTGTCCTTAATTGAGATGCATTTCATTTGAATCATGAAGGAGAAGAAAACATTGGTGGGGAGAGTGGGGATCAGAGGGATCAGAAACCTGCGATGAGAGATGATGCCTGTAGATGATTTGAAAATGGGCTGAACCAAGCACTCTGCAATGTGTTGTAGGGTAACTGTCCCGCACTAGCAGATGGGAAGGTTAGATGCTTTGCTAGATCTTTTGGATCTGTAATTTGCGTGGTTCTAGTAATGCTTATGAAATTCATGGCTAGGATAGTCAAAGGCATCTATAGGAACTAGACAATTCAATAGAGGTTGGGTACCTAATTCAGTCCCTTTTGAAAATCTGAACTAAAAATACTAGAAGAAAATTTTTCCCCTACAGTTGCAGTAGAAACTTTCCATTGACTCGGCTGTGAATCTTCTGCTTTCCCTCATCAATAAATCAATAGAACACGTTCACCTGATCGTGGTGCTTGAAGACCTTTTCAAAGTATGGTGTAATAAGAATTTGCAACAGTGCTTCTCTTATCCACAAAATTAGATGCCTACATCGGATCTGTCCTTCCAATTTAGAGCAGGGCTGTAAAATCCTGGTTAATCAGTTGATTGGTTAAATGTTAGGTTTGCCTAGCATTTAACTGGTTAACCAACTAAACAGGATCCCGGGCTGAGGACCACTCCAGTTTGGCTCCCTGTGGACAGAGGCTGCTCTGGGTTACTGATTAACTGGAACCGGTAAGCATTACCCATTTAGGGTGATGCTTACTGGGTAACGGGGTTACCGGTTAACCTTTCATGTCCCTAATTTGAAGAGTGCAATGCATTTAAAGTGTGTGTCTGTATGTTGGGCACATATGGGGAGAGTGGTGGTTCTGGAGCCCTGGAATGTGTTTAGTGGCCAGATGGCCCAGAGGGATTGAACATAATAGGTAATCATCGCGTGATTTCCCCCCCCCACCTCCCTCACCCATTTCCGGACAAACAGAGGCTAGGGACACCATTCCTACCCATCCTGGCTAATAGCCATTGATGGACCTAACCACCATGAATTTATTTAGAACTTTTTTGAACCTGGTTAAAGTCCTAGTTTTCACAACCTCCTCTGGAAAGGAGTTCCACAGGTTGACTGTGTGCTGAGCGAAGAAAAACTTCCTTTTGTGTGTTTTAAACCTCCTGCCTATTAATTTCATTTGGTGACCCCTAGTTCTTATATTGTGGGAATAAGTAAATAACTTTTTCTTATTCACTTTTTCAATACCAGTCACGATTATATAGACCTTTATCATATCCCCCCTTAGTCTCCTCTTTTCTGAGCTGAAAAGTCCAAGTCTTTTTAATCTCTTTTCATATGGGACCCGTTCTAAACCCCTAATCATTTTTGTTGCCCTTTGCTGAACCTTTTCCAATGCCAATATATCTTTTTTGAGATGAAGCAACTGCATCTGTATGCAGTATTCAAGATGTGGGAGTACCATGGTTTTATATAGAGGCAATAATATATTCTCTGTCTTATTCTCTATCCCTTTTTTAATGATTCCTTACATTCTGTTTGCTTTTTTGACTGCTGCTGCATACTGAGTGGGGGTATGTCTACACTACAGCACTAATTCGAACTAACTTTAGTTCGAATTAATTACTTTGAACTAAGCTAATTCGAATTAGCGCATCTAGACTTAAAAACTAGTTTGAATTAGCGTTTTGCTAATTCGAACTAGCATGTCCATACTGAGTGGACCCTGAACCGAGGTTAAGGATGGCCGGAAGCAATGCAGGCAGGGCATCAGGTTAGGACTTAGAGCGTGGAACTGCTGTCTCAGGCTAGCCGAGGGCTGTGCTTAAAGGGTCCCGACCCCCACCCCGGACAGACAGTTCTCAGGGGTGCCCCGCTTGCAAAGCAGTCCTGGCTTGGAGTGCCCTGAGTGCCCACACTCGGCACATCACAGCACTCGGCCATCAGCCCGGCTGCACTTGCCGCAGGCTGCCATCCGGAGGGGGGGGTCAATCGAGGGGCTTCAGGAGAGCTTCCACCCCGAGGAGCCCGCAGAGCCAGCCCAGTCCTCCCCATTGGGGGCTCGTACCCCATTCCTCCCTCACCTCCTTCCACTTACCCCTCCCTAGCCCCCCTTCCTGATGTTCAAAATAAAGGACACGTGTGTTCAAAAATAGAAACTCTCTTTATTGAACAAAGCTGGTGGAGACTGGGAAAAGGAGGTGGGAGAGGGGAAGAAAGAGGGTGGGAGAGGGGAGGACAACTAAAATGATCACGAGTTTGGAACAGGTCCCACATGAAGAGAGGCTAAAGAGACTGGGACTTTTCAGCTTAGAAAAGAGGAGACGGAGGGGGGATATGATAGAGGTCTATAAAAACATGAGTGGTGTGGAGAGGGTGCATAAAGAAAAGTTCTTCATTATTTCCCATAATAGAAGGACTAGAGGACACCAGATGAAATGAATGGGTAGCAAGCTTCAAACTAACAACAGAAAGTTGTTCTTCACAAAGCAAAGAGTCAACCTGTGGAACTCCTTGCTGCAGGAGGCTGTGAAGGCTAGAACTTTAACAGAGTT